ATATATATATATTGCATTTTCAATTCGACCCTCACGCTGGGTAAAAGCTTAAAGCAAATTAAAGGGAAAAAGGCAAGTGAATTTACGGGTAATAAGTATACTATTATAGCATATTGTATACTATTACAGTATATTGCATATTGTTACAGTATACTATAACAATATATTATATACTATAATAGTATATTGTTGCAGTATAACTATATACTCCTATAGTATACTGTTGGAGTATAGCTATGTACTCCTACAGCATATTGTATACCGTAGCAGTATACTATTGGGTAGCTGTGTTCTTCTTCGATTTTCAGTTGAAAATTTCGATCTCAATCACCTCAAATCTGCTCCAAATGCTATCAAATTTCAGTATGAACTTCCAGAAGGTATTATAAGCAATATTTAACAGCACCCACTTTGAATCAAACAAGAAATCTTCAAAATAAAAATTTTAAATTTAAGAGCTTCAAGCCCAGCAATAGTGAATATTCAAATACACATAAAAGCTAGTACATGGGAGTACTGGTTTTCTTTGAGTTCATACGCAAAGTTTCCCCTAATGATAATGGCCGCAAGTTTTAGACATAGGCTAAAATGTTCTTAAATTAAAGCAGGTCAAATAGCAGAGTATTAAAAGTGAAGTTATTATAATAAAACTAAAAAGAAAGGTAAAGAATTCTAACTCTCTTGACAAAGAAGCAGAGGGACTAAAAACTGGACGCATTTGAAATTAAGAAGTCCTTTATTGCGGTTGGTGAGGCAGTGGCAGTGCGAATAGAATAAATGCCGGGTAAATAATTTGGGTAATATGGGTAGGAGAAGTAAATAATTTAGGCATGGGCATTAAAGGGTAAATAGTTTGGAATTAATAGGTATAAAGTGAGATTTTCTCGAAAATTAATACAACTTCGACGACCAATAACTACATCCAAATAAAAAAATATCAAGCAGTTGCGAAAATCAATTCAAGAGTTTAAAACACAATTAGGAGAGAGGGGGAGAGAGAACTTTTTTTTTAAGAAAAATATATCGTCTCTTTACTTATTCTAATTTTAAAATTTAGTAACTAAGACATGTAATTTGACATGAGAAATTATCAGCGATGAATAAATCTTTTGAAGAATAATAGCTGAATTTTTTTTAGCCAACTTTAATGTTTATTTTCACAAAGAAAAAATCACTATTCAATGTAATTAGATATTAATTGAAAAATGTGATCGAACGTTGTAATATATAAATTTAAAACAACGAGCAAGAAAAAGCAAAACACGTTTTTACTGTATTGAAATTTTAACCATAATTGATGATATCATCAAAAAATTTACAAGGAGGATTGACAAGTTCTAGCTTAGGTGATGAGGTGATCAAAATTTTTCTTCCTGCAAATGGATTAGAAACATGAGCGACTCCAATTTAGTTACTTCCTAATAATTTCCTTAGGTATATTATAGTCTTTTAGCTTATTTTTGTTTGTGAATTAAATATACAATAATTTTTTTCCAGATCAATTAAGCCTTAACAAGTGTAATGCCATATTAGTAATTGTAACATAACATGTGCAGTTTAATTTTGTTTTTATGTAGACCACATTGATGGTATTAGATTGGGCACTCTGTTGAAGAGAAAAGGAAAAACTTATAATGTGTTCTAAAATATATTATAGACGTTTTCGTATTTACTAGTTTTATAAATAATAATATAAAGATGTATCTCTGTTATAAAATAAAAATTAACAAAAAATTACAAGTTCCCGAAACTAATAAATAATCTATACTATATTAAAAGTGGGAACCCCAAAACTTAAATGTCAAATTACCTAAATATCCTTCTTATTAAACTATATCTTATTTAATAAAATAAAACAAAAAACTAATATCTACCAAATTTTCAAAAGTCACAACGGTTACTTATCTATATCTATATCTATATATTATTAAAAGGAGAGGAAAAAGCCCTCTCCTTAAGCCAAGTGGCAGCCTAAAAAAATGCCACATGGCATATAGATATAGATATAGATATAGATATGGCATATATGTTGCCCATAAAACCACTTTCGGAAGACCCTTTCGATATCTTCTATCGCAAAATTGCGTAAAAGTAGCATGTTTGTATCGAGTTTATCGTACACCCTTTAGCTTAAGGATACCATCTAACAGGTAGAGTAATAGATTTCTTGGATGTAGAATAATTATTAGTCAACAGAAGTGCTATTTCATATCGCAAGAGTGAATTTTCTAGGAAAATCGAGTTCCTGAGATTGCTATGATAATTATGGTTCATTATGGGCTAATAGCATGTTCAGCCAAGCTTTTTTTGGGGCCAAAAGTGCTTTTTTTTACGGCCAAAAACACTTTTGGTCAAAAATTGAGGTGTTTGGCCAAGACTTTTGGAAGGAAAAAAAACTGCTNTAAAATTTAGATAATATTATTAAGAACAACAGAATAAAATCTAAAATAAAAAAATATTTCAATAGTAATAAATTATATATCTTTTCATATATTACAAAAAGAAAGCGAATACTAAATATTGTTTAATATAATAAAGAAAAATAGAACAAAAAAGTTATTCACTACCCTATATAAGTACCTTTGATTTAACACAGATTTCATTATTGGGTATATCGCATTGACAAACAAGATGACAATTGAATTTTATTAAAGCAATACGATCTAATAGGATCACACAAGCCTGA